ATCTTTGGCATTCTGACTCAGGATGTTGGGTGGGCACGACCAGGGGTCATTTCGTAGACAAAGAGGTCCAGGAGCTCATTAGCATAACTTATTTGCATATGCCACGCCCCCTGACATCACCGGAAGTGTGTCAAAAGGCAACACCCACCGCTCAGGCTCCACTGGACTGTTTTGGATTGCTAGCTATTGGGGGGGGGAGTGCAGATCTGTCCTCGCAGAGGAGGGAGAGCTTGTGCCTGAATAAAACTTGGCCGTAAAGGTGCCACTGGACTATTTTGGATCGGGGAGCCGGGGGAAGCTCTGCAACTTACCTGGCCGCTTCTTGCTCTGACTGAGGGCTGCTGGGAGCAGGGGGTGGGGCTTGTTGCATGTGCCTGCCCCCTGGGCTCTTTACTGCCAGAGCTCCGCTCCTGTGCGCTCCTGCAGGAAATGACCTCTGGGCACGACCAGAAAACCGGCTGCTGCAGGAGGTGGAGCCAGCCACAAAATGTCAGGGAGTGAGGTTGTGCATAACTCCAATAATAGCTTTGCAACATTTCAGGCCGAAGCTCCACTTAACAGGATGTAGATTTGCCAGGTAGGTTGGACCCGCAGGCAAGGGGGATGGAGAGACATTCTAGGAGTGGAAAATGGCCTGCCTGGAAATAAACGCGGTGCGCCTACATCACCCAGAAGTAACGTAGGCATGTCAGTGACGGCGGGGGTGACGCTCTGGTTTTTGGGCAAAACTCTATGGTAAGATTGGCTTCAGAGCATCGAGTTTTGCCCCCAAACCAGAGCATCGCCCTCCCAATGTCACCGACATTCTTATGTCATTTTGGGGCGATGTTGGCACGTCACGTTTACTTCCTGCTTCTTCCCTCCCCGCTTCTGGTCAGTCGCATTTATTTCTGGCTTGGGGGGGGAGGTCTAGCATCCCTCCCCCCCACTTGTAGAACAAAACATCCTGTCCCCCAAGCCATAAGGACAGGCAAGTCAGGAAAAGGAGAATTCAGAAAAGCCCTTTATTGCGGTCTTTCCTGAAACATCACAGCAAAACAGGGTCGAGGTCAATGCCTCCCTCTAAGCTGCGGAGTCTTGTGAGCAAAGATTCTACTCTGTGAGCTCCTGGCATTCAAGTTGTGAGCGAGCGATTTGGCTGCTGCATCAATCGGTTTGCTCTGGAGCCCTCCTTCCTGAGCTGAGACAAAAATCTGTGAGCCGGAAGTTAAAAAGCTGTGAGCTAGCTCACACTAACTCAGCTTAGGGGGAACACTGGTCAAGGTCCCAGGAAGTATGGGGTTGGACCTGGACCTGTTAGATGCACGGCAGCACCGTGATGTATGGGGAAGCGGGGAAAAGTCTGTTTCCCGATTGCATCAAAGTCAGGGCAAAGCAAACCGCACATAAGCAGCCAGAGACACGATGTGAACTGAGGCAGATCACGAGAAGGGAGGGCAGGAAAGGGTTGCCTCAGTGCTTAGTTCTCGAGACCCTTTCTGACATGCCCAGCCAGGGGAATGCCG